AGGCCTTTTTATGGCCCGGCATGATCCGCAAGTTCCAGAAGCCCTCTGCCCTTCTACATAGGAGTCCCGGAGTCAAGCATTTAGGAACTAGATGACCGGTACCCTACACCCTAAACCTACACCCGAAACCGAAGTCAATTATTTGTACACTACATGATCGATACCCCCCCTTCAAGTTAGGGATTTTCATTGAGGTGGGGGAAATCTTCTTCTTCCCCAGCCTCGATGCTGATGAGCAATTCGTGCCGAGCCCGTCGCACAGGGAGCGTTCAACTCAGGGCTCAAGTGCCTAATCCTCATGTTTAGTGACTTGTGCGGGTATAGCCCCTAAAGTGCTATCCTGTAGTTATCCTTGCAGGGTCCTAGACCCAAGTATATATATATATATATACCTATATATATTATATATATATATATATGTATACACCAACTCATTAGGTATTTTCGCACCGTCAGGACAAGGTCCGAAGGGATCAAGGGACTCTTAAGTTTAGGGTTTCGGGACTCTCCTGGCTTGATGAAGGGTATTTTGAGGAGACTTTGGTACTGGGGGGGTATTTTGGGGGCTTACCCATAGTCTCCGTTGCAGGTATTGCAGTTCCCTCTTCGTGGGTTAATAAATCTTATGCTTGGGAAGCTATAATGAAAAGGGAAACCAAACAAGAACTACAATGGACTGGGCTTCGCGGGTGGCGAAAAAGCTCTACAGAATTCAGGACATGAACATGTTCGGGATTTCTGTATGCCTTGGTCGCTTTGAAAAGTATCTCCAACCAGGCATTGCTGAACTCCGCTGCAGGGCGTCGGCTATGGGTTTGGGTTTCAGGTTTGCAAGGGTTGGGGTTTCATTAGCCTGGACGGTGAGTAAGACCTGGGTGGGCTTGAAATATTGATCAGATAAACTAGCTAAACACGCAACCCCTAAGCGCTTAGCATTTTACCCTTATAACCTCAAGAGGACAAATAACGGCTTCGTCGTAGAGGTGCAAATATTATAACACCGGGCGAGCGCTTACTTCGGATGCACTTGGGGGGTCGGGGGACTTAGTAGGTAGTTGGTAAGTAGACTTGCAAGTACCCTAAACGGGACCCTAATTGGGGTTATGGTACTTAGAAGTCCTTAAAATAACCAGTCACGAAGCCCCCTAAACCCTAAACCCTAAACCCTTACAGAATCCCTACAGATCCCTTTAAGGGGCCCTTAAGGAACCCCTTATAGTTACCAAGTCCCCTAAAGACCCTCCAAGCAGCAGCCTCAGGTGAAGCCTAAGCCAAGTCTAGGCTTCGGGATGGGGGCCAGGGATGAGGTTTTCTAGGCCAAAGTAACTACAATTAAGTTCCTTTTAGCAAGAACCCTAAACCCTAAACCCCTAAACCCTAAACTATGGTAACTACAATTAAGTTCCTTCTAGCAAGAGCCCAGAAGTAGTCCCAGTAGTACCCTTATTCCCTTTTTGTAGTCCTAGGTTCCTTATAAAGTTACCCAATACCAAAAAGAGAGGCCTTTTTATTCTTAGGTTACTGGGTATCCTAGTTTTGTTCTTAGGGCTTAAGGGTTTATGGTTTAAGGTTTAGGGGTTCTAGGGTTTAGGGTTTAGGGTTTAAGGTTTAGTGGTTCTAGGGTTTAGGGTTTAGGGTTTAAGGTTTAGGGGTTCTAGGGTTTAGGGTTTAGGGTTTAAGGTTTAGGGGTTCTAGGGTTTAGGGTTTAGGGTTTAAGGTTTAGGGGTTCTAGGGTTTAGGGTTTAGGGTTTAAGGTTCAGTGGTTCTAGGGTTTAGGGTTTAGGGTTTAAGGTTTAGGGGTTCTAGGGTTTAGGGTTTAGGGTTTAAGGTTTAGGGGTTCTAGGGTTTAGGGTTTAGGGTTTAAAGTTCAGGGGTTACAGGGTTTAGGGTTTAGGGTTTAAGGTTTAGGGGTTACAGGGTTTATGGTATAAGGTTTAGGGGTTCTAGGGTTTAGGGTTTAGGGGTTACAGGGTTTATGGTTTAAGGTTTAGGGGTTATAGCGTTTAGGGGTTTAGGGGTTATAGAGTTCAGGGTTTAGTGTCAGACACTTTGGTGCAAGATGGTGCAAGGAGCATCCAAGCAGAAAGCCAGCAGGATTCCCCACGAAACCGTTAACGTAAGGGTCCAACGGTTGATGATACAAATCCTGCATGACCCATAATAAGGACTATACCGTAATTCCCATAGTTTAGGGTCCTTCAGGTAATGCAGGATTTCTATCATCAACCGAAGTACCTCATTATCATAGACTCTCCAAAATAAAGTAGTAACCTACAGAGCTACTATCCGAAACCTAAGTACCTAATTACTGGGTCCTTTGGACCCTGAGGCCCTCAGGGTTACAATCGTAAACCGAAATCCTTGACAGAAGCCACGGTTTAGGGTTTAGGGTTTAGGGTTTAGGGTAAACCTTTCGACCACAGCAAGCCTCATTTCGAACAGGATTGCTCTGAGCAAGGTTGAAATGTCTGTGCCGGCATCTGCGCGCCTCGAAGAGCCCAAAGTAGGCTGTGCCACGAGGAGTCAAACCCGTCACTTTGAGGTTAGCAGTGTTGAGGGTTTAGGAGTTAGGGCTTGGGTGTCAGGGCTTATTTGGGGCGTGAATGGTATTCATGACTCTTTTCTAACTCAGCCAATCCCTAAGCCTTTAACTCGAAAATCGTTCACTTAGAAGCGCCCGTCGCAGTTACACCTCACAGCACACTGCTGTCTCGCATGGAGAGCTGCCAAAGCGACCGCAGCCCCCGCAAGAGGCGTCTGCAGAATACCGCGAGCTTAAAAATCCGTAGGCACTTGGGGTTTAGATGAATTTGACCAAGAGTGCTTGAATGAACCCAAAACACAATACATTACAGTATAATGTAATTTAAACAGTATGGGGCCAGATTACAGTATCCAATATACGAAAAGTAGCACGATAGAATGTGACATAAAGTTTAATCTAACCTCAAAATAGCTCGAACCCAACAGCCGGCAAAGCCAACACGGCAACCTTGACGTCAACCCTGAACATGCCTTGCACCTGCCAGTTGCTGCCTTGGAGATGGGTTTTTACGTCTTCCTAGTAATAGAGTATGTAACCTAGAACCTTTTTGGGATACTATAGCCCCTACCGTATATAATTCCAGTCTACTCCCAACAGTTAACCTCTAGTTCCCTAGGATATTCGACAAGTAGGTGTTCAACACCGAAACATACAAGCTCTGGCCCAGCTTACCGAGATTAAGTCCGAGATTAAGACAGCGTTCAGCAAGACGAGCAACGGCCTGTCCACAGGGATGACCGCAGTGCTTCCAAGCATATAATATAGGGGCCTTAATAATCAGAATAGGGTTTGGGGAGGTCTATTTTTCTTTAAATTTAGTAAGGAGCCCCCAAACCCTATTCTAATAATTAAGGCCTCTACATTAAACTATGAACTCTGGTTCTGGTTCTGATTCTGGAAGCTCTGAGAATTGTAGAGTCTATGCTCAGCAACTTGTCATACTCCGTTCTGCGAAGGGCCCTGTAAAGTACAGATCTATCTTGCATGCTTTAGGGCTTTGAAGGGTTCAACAGATATCACTACTAAGGTAGATGTAGGTATCAGGTGCAAACTCGGACCACGTAGCAATGACCTCACATCCCGAACCCAACATCCTGCTTTCTGAAACCAAGGTCCTAGGTACTGTTCTGAGGAATACTTTCCCAAATCATAACAGTAATTCCTAATATATAGAAACCCTACATCCTACTATGTAGGTACACTCCTGCAACCCAATATCCCTTATGGTACCCTTATAGTATCCCTTAAAAGGAGCCCCTTTTAAAGGAACCCTATTCTAAGTATCTGAAAAGGGGGGGTGGGTTTGGCCCGTACCCCTGCGGGCTCCAGGATCTACCCAGCAGGGCTCCACATCCCCGAATGGATCCTCTACAGGGCTTCCTTACTATAGTTATAGTTAGTGACCTTATTATAATTACAGCATAATATACTCGGAAACTCCCAACTGTCTTTTCCAATTATCATACCCACAACTAGGACCTACAGGGCAGTAGATATGCCGGATTTATATCATCAACAGCATTACTACCATTCTTCTATAGGATTACTAAGGCCCTTACTATAGTTATAGTTAGTGACCTTATTATAATTACAGCATAATATACTCGGAAACTCCCAACTGTCTTTTCCAATTATCATACCCACAACTAGGACCTACAGGGCAGTAGATATGCCGGATTTATATCATCAACAGCATTACTACCATTCTTCTATAGGATTACTAAGGCCCTTACTATAGTTATAGTTAGTGACCTTATTATATTTACAGCATAATATACTCGGAAACTCCCAACTGTCTTTTCCAATTATCATACCCACAACTAGGACCTACAGGGCAGTAGATACGCCGGATTTATATCATCAACAGCATTACTACCAGTCTTCTATAGGATTACTAAGGCGCCTATATTATAGTACCCTTATAGATCCCTTATAGTAACCCTTATACTGGGACCTAGAGTAGGCCCTTATTCCCTTTTTGGGGGGGTTCAGGTTCCCTTATTAGGACCGCAAGGGCTCTATTAAAGGGCCTTTGACGGGTATTCTAAACCTTAAACCCTAACCCTAAATCCTACGGCCGTGAAGGAACCCTACAGATAAAGCCCAAACCTCGGAAACCCCGTAGCCTCAATCCTTAAGACTTTAGAGTAAAGAACAGGGAATACCAGCGCTATTTGGCCTTAGTCCGGTAAAGTTGGGGTTTACTGTAACCCCTGGTACCTGTTCATAAGATCCTGACCGTCACAAACCTTAGTGGATCCCTGAACCCTTTAAACCCTGAAACGTAGCCCCTACTAGTAAGGATTGAAACCTAAATCCTGACCCTGAATCCTAAACCCTATATTATCCCTGAAACCTAAACCCAATCCCTCAACCCCTATGCACCGCTAAACTTCAAATCCTAAACCCTGAAACCTAAACCCTATACCCCAAACACCCGAGTCTCGAACAGGCCATGGTTCGGTCCAGGCGTGCGACCAGCGACGAGTCGGGCAACGAGGTCTGGTTCGGGGTTGAGTGGCGTAGTGTTTTTGTGGGTTAGGGTTTAGTTTCTCAGGGGTGTAGGGGTCAGTACACACATATATATATATATATATGCTATATAGTTACATACATGCACAAAATACGTTTACATTGCATACATGCTGGCATACATACATAGAGACCTACCTACCTACATACATACATGCATACGTACATATGACATGCAGCATGCATACACAATGTATATATGTATGTATGTAAGTAAGAAAGTATGTACGTATGTACGTACTTATGCACATACATATGTATGTATGCACGCATGTATGTATGCATGTAAGTATGCATGTCCGCATGCATGTATGTATGTGCGTGTATGTATATATATATATATATATATGTTAATACATATATACATATTTTTATGTGTATTCTCGCCTTTACACACATACATACATACATACATACATACATGCATACGTACATACGTAGACCCATGCATACCTACTTACATACATGCGTACATACTACACTCATTGATACATACATACATTGAATTCACAAAAGTCAAGGAAAGCCTCAAACTATGTTTGATTGCGGGTTCAGGCGGCTCTTGAACCTTTGAATGCCTATGTATGTCCATGACAGATAGAGTAGATTAGTCAACCCAACCTTAGTTTTTCGTAGTTGCTTTATGGTTTTCCGGATATTGGCTTTGCCTTCTCATGTTTCGGGTTCTAACTGATGGCTGAGGGGGAGAGTTAAGTCTCCGAACTAAGACTCATAAGGCATAAGGCTTCCAGGAGTTAGAGTTAAGTATTGAGTATCCAGTGGCCTTCACCTCCGAGCATGTCGGGATGCGATGAGTCTCAGACCGGAACATATTGGTTTTCGGTACAAGGTTCCCTAAACTCTGAACCTCGGAGAAGCTTGTAAATCCTGAGCCCCGATGTCATGAATCCGTCGGTTCTCAAGTCGTAACTTTAATACCTTAACACTAAATCATGGAACTTTGCAGGGTTCCTTTTGAACCCTGTACTGGGCCCCTTCAGGAAGCCCGTAAGACAACCGTATTTTTTTTTAAGGCCCCGTGTTTACTTCCGCGTCTGACTGCTGTGTGAACTGCAAGGCGTGCGTTCCTCTCGCACAGCCGCTTGGAGGATATTTGTGCAACTTTGGACCGTGCGCAGGGGGGATGTGGATCATTTCAACAAGTGGTGTAGTATACTTCAATGCTTTTCCTAGGAGTGCTATTGGCGTCCGATAAACGATGTAGACGGGTCCTTCTTTCTTACTGGCTGTATACTTAGCTTTTCAACTTTTGGTGTTCTTATAAGGTAGTCGATTCTGAAAGTTTCAACTTTTATTCCCTTGGGTGTTGGGCCAGCGAGCTTTTGCGTGTCCCCGAAACATGGCTTCTTGTTCCAAGAAACTGTAGTTCCTTTCTTTCGGCTTCACCATATACATATATATATATATATATATTCACTTATCCATTTTGTTTATCTATTTAGGACTTAGGATCCTAGAAGGTAACTTCATGTGAGCTGAGGCAGCTTGGCTTCGTGGAGGAGGAACATGAGCCCTTTGATGAGGTGCCGTGCCTCACTGGCTTGCCGTTTAGGGCCAAGGGGGTGGCATTTTGCGCCGATAGGGTTGACGGGTTGACAGTTTAGAGGTCTAAGGTGCTCGAAGCCTGTTGCGAAGACATCCTCAAGCTACAGGAGCGTACAACAGTAACGGAAGACTACAGCCATTGATGGCACACCCAAAACCCCTAACCCCTATATGACACCTAAATCCTAAAAACCCTAAACCCCCGAACCCTAAGTCCGTTTTTTTGCACAAGCCGTGAAGATGCTTTGGATAGTTCCCATAACACGCCTCGTTGGTGCCTTGCTGACCTGGCATTCCTTGGACGGAGCTTCCTTTGAGGTCTTGGGGTTGAGGGCGTTAAGGGTTTTAGATGGTTTTAGGGGTTTGGGTTTAAGGTTTAGGGGCTCAGGGGTTTAGGGGTCTGAGGTTTAAGGTTTAGAGTCTCCACAAGAGATTAAGAACCATATAGTTGGAGGTAGCGCCGCGGTAAGCATGGCGAAGAAAGAACCATGGCAGATCTGTATGCAGGCGCGCACTGTGTGTCTATTCCCGCCGTGCGTGCGATGGATCCCAGATTTTGCCAGTTGGGTTTAGGATCCTAGCACTGTAAGCGGCTGTTTGAGGGACTTTGTGGCGATGGCGCCAAACCAACCCTAAAACCCTAAGCCCTTAAACCCTGAACCCGCCTACAGCCCTAACTCCCCCCCAGAAGTAAAGCTTTACTTAAACCCAAAACACTAAAACCTCATAGGTCCCTTCTAGAACCCACATAGGAACCCTTGTTTCAAAGGAGCCCTTAAAAAAGCCCTTATAGGTAACCCTCCTTTTGAAGGAACCTTTACAGGAGCCCTATTCCCTACTAAGAACCAGACAGCCCTAAAGAGGAGCCTACAGGAGAGTTCGTTTTCTGCAACCCAAAGTCTCCCTGTACCCATGTAGTAGGTACTTAGGCCTTAAAGTACCTATATAGGGACCCCTTAAAGGAGCCTTTCCTTGGATCAGGAAGTGGGGCCTTTGCCCGAGACCCGACCGGGAGAGATCCCGATCCGGAGGCCGGTTTAGGGCTCAGGGCTTTAGGGTTTCGGGTTTAGGGTTTGGGTTTAGGATTTACGTATGGTTTAGGGTTCAGGGTGGGGGGGTGGGGGGGGGGCGCAATATAAGCATAAGCCACAGCGATATCCCTACCGTATTGGGCTTAATTACAAGGGGGTCTTACACGGGATGTTTGTTTGTTTACGTGCTTTCTGGGGGCCCGCAATCTTGCCTTACCTCCAGTATGTCATGTTGTGTTTTTCGTTTTACCTGCACTGTATCGTATTCTACTATGAGCTGTTTTACTATATGAGAACATGTATTACATAACATTAATTATGTTTTACAGCATGACATCATCATATTGCATTGCATTCAATCATCTGCCAGTCGATTCTGTTCTGTCTGATTTTAATGGTTCTCCTAGAAATGTCTTATGAAGGTTCCATGAGGGTTTAGGGTTTGGACAAGCCAAACCCTAAACCGTTTAAACTAGCTGCACTGCTGACGCTGGAGGGCTTCCCGGGTGCAGGGCTTAGGGTTCGGATCTGAGGGTTTCGGTGCAGGGTTTAGACCTGGGCCCCAATGACCTACCATTTTTTCCGGACGTATATATTGTCGCGATCGGAAAAAGGAACCCCCAGCAGCAAGTTTTTCGGGCTTCAGATACGGCCTGCTGCCGAAACACGCTGCTGCATCATGTCCTACTGCAATTTGCTGAAGCGGTGCGGTCGCATTGGTTTCAGACGAGAGTAGACGCCCGCGACTCCAGTATCCCCTGGTGGTGCTGAGGGTCTCTCTTACACAGAATCCCAGACTCAAAATCATGTGTCTGCCTTCACCAAGCGCTTTATGGAGTGTTTCATGGAGAATCGAACCCCTACTGTACTGTAACAGGTCTGGCTTGTCTGATAACGGCTTCTGGGAGCCGTGTTTTTGATACTACAGCCATGAACCTTAAGGTGCCGCCCAAAGTACATAACAATTAGGTGTGAGGGCTTGGTAACCTAAAACCTTAGACTTAGGGTTTCTCAATCAACACCGAAACTTTTCTAACCCTGCTAGTACCCAAGTTACACATGCCCACGAAGCCTCTAACTGATTGGTCGGTGCTGGTACTTCTTCCAAGACGCCACATCCCGAACCCTGGATTTGCCAGAGACTGCTTCACATGTGCGGCGACAAGCCCTTAATCTCTTAAACCCCCAGGCCGGGAAGCCTGAAACTTGTAGCCGCCTTACCCCCGAACCCCCTTACGCGAAGCCCTAGAACTTAAACCAATCAACCCTATAGGCCCTTAAACCCTGCTTTAAGCCATCACAAACCGGAAATTCTTGAACCCTCAACGCCTCAGCCTCGAACCTACAGAGGCTTTCCTGGCCAATCTTCCGATGGCTGGAGGACCAGGGTGTGCTCATGAACGGCCTCCTGTCGGAATTCCAACTTTCGGGTTCCTCTAAACTACCAAAGCCAGCTTGTTTGTATAGGTTCTTATTATAAGCTCTACATACAGAACTAATGTTTGTAGGTTCTTATCATAAGCTCTACTTTCAGAATTAATGCGAGCCCTACACAAAGAAAGGGTTTCGACTAACATAAACCCTCTTATTTCAACGCCGCACCCCAGCCCGAGATCTTGTGGACTTTGGGTGCCGGGTCCATGCAGATATCTTCGAATCAGGGAGCTTGAATCAAGCCTGTGCACTTAGGGTGCCGTCTATTGTTGTGATGCTTCTAGGGCTTGTAGGTTTAGAGTTCAGGGTTGAGGATATAGGGTTTGAGTTTGGCGGGTTTCTGTGCGAGTCGTGGGTTGTGTGCCTGATGGTGGCGGAGTACACTTGGCATCGGAGATGCCCTCCATTTTCAGCCCCTACAGTAATCAGTAATTACCCTTAAAGCCGAACCCCCCAAGCCTCGTAAGGCCAGAAGCATGGTAAAGCTTCTCTGAAGTCTACACCCTGAAAACCCTGATGCAAGAAGCAAGCAAGATCTGTCCTTACGCGCAGCTTGATGTTACTATACTATAGCTATTGTTTCTTCCGGACTCTATTCTCAATACTGGGCTCAAAAGTAAACGGAGACATATGCAAGAACCTTAAACCCTAAACCCTAAACCCTAAAACCCCATGCGGCAACCAGGTTGGGAGAGATATGCCCACACTGCACTCGACTTTTCCGGTGACCTCTTCAAGCTCCGCCGCTTTCACTTGGATTCAGTTTCTAGTGTTGAGGCTTGGGGGTTCTCGGTTTAGGATCATACCCGTGCGTCCTTTTTCGCTGGTTGCAGAGCATGGCACAGGGCTTTTTGCTACTATGCACAAGTCTCGGATTGCCACTGCCCAAGGGTTCAAGCCTTCTCTACATAGCGTCGTTCTTGTTCGTAGTTAACACTCGTTCTGTAGGTATTTGCAGGGCAATATGCCACCGGATTTGTCACGTTGCGACACACTTGTTCGTGATTGAGGGTCCTTTGCTTCTCATGTCGGCGTCTTGGCTGCTGTGGGTAGACGTTATAGTGCGTGGTTAGAGCTTACATGGATTCCTGGACAGCAGTTCCCGGGGCAGGCAAAGTGCATAACTGTTTTGGGCACAAAATCATAACTAACATTCCCTTCCTCCCTACATCAGTGCGGTGTTTCATACCTTTCTTAGGGCTCCTCATTAAGATTTCGTTGTGGAAGTCCTGGCAAAGGTAGGTCATTTCTAGGGTCCATGTACCCCTTCATCAAGGAATACAATGTGCTTTCCTTATGTTAGTGGGTATTGGGCCGGCATTGGGCCCTTTAAGTCTGGATGCCACGCTCTTTGAGGAACCATTCAGCCGCTGGACTTTCGCTGGCGTGCCACGGATTCAAATTTGGCTTGGCAGCAGCCAAGACAGTCCTCGAACACGGACATTGGTCTTTAGGGTATACCTTCACCCGGGATGACCTACCTTTTTTAAGGCTTTCATAAGGAGATCATAATAGGGAACCCTAAAAAGGTGGGTTCTTCAGGGTCTAGGCAGGGGGTTGGGGGTTGAGGGCCAGGGTTCCAGCAGGGTGTAGTTTCTCAGCTTTACGGCTCCGTGTTTTCGAAGCGTCGACAAGGCTACAAGCCTGCAAAGGGATTTATAGAACTCGGTTTGAATGGGATTGCTTTGACATTTAACAGCACACTCAGTGTTTTAAGAAAGCTTCGGGGACTTCACTTGTGTCAGGTTTATGTGGGAGCTTTGGCAGGAGTGTGGAGGTATACATGCGGATCTGTCTGAGGATACTGATACTAGCCCTGAACCCCAACCCATTCGACGTATAATTATTGGTCAGACTCCAGTAGCATCGAGAGTGCCCACAGCGTTTTTGTTTGAAAACCCCAAAAGCTCTCTCAAACATGAAAGGCAAGTCAGTGACGTGGCCAGCACAGAGCAAAACCTTCAAGCAGTTTCATACAAGCCGTCGCCTTTGAACCCCACACCCTAAACCCTAAACCTAAATCTGCTGCCAGATGCCAAGCCTTAGCAGAGCTTCAATGAATCCCCAAGCTGATATGAGGCAGGTCTTACTTGAATCAGGGATCTGGTGTGTGTGTGTGTGTGTTCATAGGGGTTCCGAAAAAAGTCTAGGCATGTGTGTTTCGGGTTTTATTGTTAGAACCCGAAACCCTAAACCCTAAATCCGACATCATATTCCCACTCGCCGAGGGCGGAAGGAGAAAGCAGAAGTGATCTCCCCGAGACTGCAGCGGATGAGCAGCCACCAGGACGATGATCTTCAGCCCTGAACCCGAAAGAACCTACCTTTTCGGGGCTCCTTCCTATGATGTTCTTATAGAAATCCTTAATATGGTAGGTTATTCAGGCTCCAGGTACATCTAGTTTAGAGCTTAGTTGCGGCTTGGATTACACTGCTGTTTCCGACCCAAAACGACCACCGTGGAGCTCAGTAATTAGTAGCGTGCTTCCCTTCCTACTCAGAGGCTCCCACGCGACCTGTTTCTGGGTGTAAGGTTTGGGGTTTAGGGTGTACAGTGTGCACATCTTACCTCCTCACGCAGTCGTATGAGTATTCAGGCTTGTCTTCCGGACTCACGCACCTCAGGGCCGCGAGCTTGCTTTCATGTTTGGAGCAGTTGAAGAATGAACACATCTCCGATTTTGTCGTCAACTCCAAGTCCTATATGGGAGTTTCCGAAAATTAGGGGTCCTTTTCATAAGGATCCTACTATTTAGGGTACTTTATCAGGGCCCCCTATTCTCGGGAACTCCCAGATACGTTTCCAGTTCCTGCGACTGCTTTGATGCCTTGCTGTCATGTAGATCTAGACCTCAAACCCTCGCAGCCCAAACTCATCGTGGATCTGAGTCCCCCGCTGGCAGCCTTTAGACGCTTTCATTTCCTGGGGCCCCGCATTGGAAGTAGCAGGGAAAGAGGCACCCTGATCATTACAGAGCTCCTTGGTCTCCTGACAGGAGCTGGAGCTCACCGTGGGCAAACTCCACACCCTCAAGTTAGAATCTCTTCTTGGCCATACTGTGAAGCTTTTTTGGGGTCTAGGAATCTAGACATAGGGTTTACAATGCTTACAAGGTTCTAGAGTTTAGGGGACATCCTTTACACTCTAACGTCCCAAGTAGGGCTTGGCGTTTGCGGTTTCGGGTTTGTCCTCTGTCAGCAAGGGCGCTTTGCGCCCGTCAGGGTATCCCCCAAACCACACATGCATAATCATAATCAGGGGCCCCATATCTGAGTTGCAGGATTGAGAACAACAGTTGCATATCTGACACTGCCAGAGGTACCTCTTAAAAAAGACCTGAACTACTACCTTGGTAAGGGTTCAGCATGGATCAGCAGAAGTTGAAGTAAAGTTAATAAAAGAAGTAGTTGAGGAGTATTTGGGTCACTTGCCGACTAGGATGCTTGAAGCAATCCCGGTGAAGCGAGTGATGATTGACCACTTGTGCTCTGAAGAGGGTGTTTGCAAGTACCAGTCCGATGGCATCACACGGGTAAGCTGCAGCGCAGGTGAAAAAGTCTGGAGTGGATCGAAGATCGCATCCCTCAAGTTCCCCGATCCGAGGGACCGTCAGGGCTCTGCTTGGTGGAATCATCAATATGTCGAGCAGTTGGCTTTCCGCTTTGACGTCGAATTCTTCGGAAAGAACGACGACAGAGAAGAGCGAGGTGAATACGAGCCGCCGCGCAGGGGCAGAAAGTGGCTCACCAAGCCGGCATGAAAGAGGTTGAGAAGTTGCTGATCGAAAAATTAATTAGTCACCCTAAACCCTAAACCCTAAACCCTAAACCCTAAACCCTAAACCCAAACCCTAAAGCCCCCAAAGCCTGATCATAAATCGAAAATGAACCCCTTACGGCGAAGGCCACAGCAGTTAACCTCGAGCCCTAAACCCTAAACCCTAAATCCTCCATTCTCTTCGGATTTGAAGAACTCCGGGGTTTGTAAATGCTTGGTTGGCCCGGGCCTTTTGACACTGCAAGAAGGGTGTTCGGATTTGGATGTTGTTGGGCTTGGAGGGTATTGTAGTTTAGGGTTTTGAGTTGTGGGTGGGGTGTGCAGGAGCGCGTAAAGGCATGTTCAAGCTGTTGCGATTCGACTGCATGACTGTATTCTCCTTTGCAGTTTGCGGTACCAGACGATGGTCCGTTCAAGCCCACATCATTTCGTTGCGGGTGCTCCCGGCCATGAAATTAGTGGCAGGCACCGCAGATTCCTGCAAGCATCAGGGCCAGACGAAACCCGAACAACTCCCCCCAGGTTGAGCGTTCAGTTCTTGGATGTAAGTCCCAAACTCTATGGCCAAGGCTTTCAACGTCTAAACCCTGAAACTGAAATTCAACATCCTAAGCCTTGAACACAAGGCCCCTTTCCCAAACCCTCAACTCAAGGTCGGCATCCTAAACCTTACCCAAACATAAACCGTAAAGAATCCAAGAAAGTGCCTTTTTAAGCCTCCTTCTCATGATTTATCTTATCTCTATAAGTCCTGCGAAGTTTTGGTTATTTAGGGTCCAGCTAAACCTTCGACCCCTAACACATAAAAACCCTAAACCCTATAGATCCCTTATAGAACCATTGCAGATCCCTTTAAAGGAACCCTATATAGAACCCTTGAAGATCCCTTTAAAGGAACCCTACATAGATCCCTTATGGATTCCTTTAAGGGAACCCTACAGGCCCCAAACCCCTAAACCCCAAGGACAACAACGAGCTCTTCGATGTCGACTTCGATCCCGCCAAAGATGTGGGCCTCACCTCGAGCTCTTTTGCCAGCCTGAGGCTCCAAAGATGCTGTTGTTGAGGGCTCCTTTAAGGGTTCCGTAAGGGATCTATAAGGCTGTTGAGTTTATGGGTAAACCCTGGGGATCAATCGGCCCAAAAGCCTCATGGTATGGTCTTTGAGCCCAAAAGCCTTAACATAGGAGTCCTCAGAGACCTAGGGAAACATGCTCTTTTACGGTTCGAGGTTTTACAGTTTAGGGGTGTGGTTTGGGTTTAAGGTCTGGGTAGTTTAGGTTAAGGGGTTTACGGCTTTCTTGCTTGAGGACTTTCTTCAGCTTTAGGGGTTTCGGGATTAGGGTTTAAGGGTTGGGGGTTTAGGTTTGTTTATGGATCCCAGGACGATGTTTGGCAAAAATCAGGGTGTCTTTTTCGGGGTCCTTTGCAATACGGATCCAATGTTTTGGGTCACTGAAATCCGAAATCCTGCCTCATTTTCTGGTATTGGCTTAGAAAGAACCCTGCTTTGAATGGGGAAGGATTAGGATTGTTCTGGGTTAGGCGTTTAAGTTTTGAGACCGAAGTTGGGGTCCTCTGGGGGTTATTGTACTGTAGAGCCTGTACAGACCAAAAAGGTCCGAGGTACTGTTATGGGGAATACTTTCCCAAAGCATCACAGTTCCAGGAACAGTACTTCCTAATGTCGAAACCCTACATCCTGCAGGTACTTTGGACCCTGTGGGAGAAGCATTCTGTCAGCTTGGCCTTTCAAGCTATGCAAGCGAAACGAACTTTCGAATCTGCTCTCCTTCACTGAAAGCCTCCATCATTCCTCGGAATATGCTGTTTCTCAAGTTGTTTTCCTTCTGACTTCGGCCTCTGCAAGCCCGAGAGCCAACAAGGAGTTGCATTGAAACCTTCTAAACACCCTCAAAGCGAACCCATCTTCGTGCCGACGCCGCGCACGTAGAACGCTGACACTGAGCCGAAATCGCCTGACCTATCCGATTCTTCTGCCACGCGTCAGCATCTGCTTGGTTGTTGTGAGCTAAATCTTTCATGTCGAGTTTAAGAACGGATCGGAGGCTGGGGACTGGTAGTGGTTTGAGATCAAGGGTCTGCGGACGGACCACGGGCTGTATAAAGCTGTCAGGGTTTGGGGCTTAGTGGTTAAAGGCTGGTTTCGAGGCTCAGCTGAAACCGTAGAGGTGCCTGTGGAGGCGCACACAAAACGACTGTAGAGCTCAGCGTAGTTTGAACCTTTTACTGGAAGCTATCGGGTCTCAGTGCAAAGCTCTAGAAGCCCGAAGACTTGTAGCCTCCAGCACTATACACCCCAAACCCTGAACGCGCAAACCCTAAACCCTAACCTTCGAAAGAGTCCGACAGGGATTGTACCCAAATTTATTCGATTTCCACCGGCTTCCCAGGCTGCCACGACTGAAAGAGTTGGATTTATCGCACAATCGGCTGGTGCAGGTGGGGGCTACAATCACTGTGATCCTAAACCCGAGGCCCTACCCGAAGACTCCGAGTATACAAAGAGTACCTACCCAGAGGCCCCATAGTAGTTCCTTTTCGGGATTACCCTGCAGGATTCTATATACGAACCCCAAAAAGGAACTACTTTGGGGCCTTTGGGCAGCGAGTAAAGGGTACCTACTTCGGACGCTGTCTTAGGGCTAATGACCTCCGGAAAACTCCTAAACCCCAAACCCCAAACCCTAAACCTATACCATCACCCCCAAACCCAAAACCCTGATCCCAAACCTTCAACATCTAAGAAAAAACGCGGACCCAAAGCAACAAGAGTCCGCAGAGCCATGACCAGCCAGGATAAGGGTTTAGGGGTTAAGGTTCAGAGTTTTAAGGCTTGGGTTTAGGACTTGCAGACCCCTTTTTGCAGTCCTGATCCCCTAAACCCCCTTTCCCCGAACGCTATAAAACCCTAATCCTTATAAGCCCTGTTTATAAAAGCCCGAAGCTATATAAACCCCTAGCCCGCAAGCCCTAAACCCTCAAAGCGCTAAGCACCCTAAACCCTCATAGGAGGCCAAAAGGGGTTTTAGCCTATGGGGGTTTAGTAGGGATTAGGGTTCCCATAATAGGGTTCATATTAAGGAATCCCTACCCCAAGAATCTTAAATCCCCCTTTTGGCCTCCCATCAAACCCGAGTGTAAACCCTAAAGCTCCTGTCCCGACCCACGGAAAGGGTTCAGAACCAGGATCCTCTTCTACTATTTGCTTAAGAACCCCCCCAAAAAATAAAAAATGATAATCCCTATATTATCCCTATAAGGATATATTTTTTATTTTTTGGTGGTTCTTAAGCAAATAGTAGTCTTTGTACTCTTAAGCAGGGGCATCTGGTCCCAAGCAGTAGATATAATGGGGTTTAGTGGAGGGTTTAGGTTCAGGAAGGCGTCCAGAATTCTAGAAAAGTCTGTGATCATCTTACCGCGTTCTGCAACGGGTTGTATGCAGGGCTTTCACGGGCTTCAGGGCTTGAAGTTTATGGTTTATGTAAGGCTCCGAGAAGCGAGATAGGACTTTGTCTTTATTTGGGTACCAAACAACCCTTCAGGCACAGCATTCGAGACGTCAAACGGCTGTACTTTGGCAAAGCATAGTTGCACCCTGTAGGGCCTACGTAGTTATACTGTCCTAGACCATACCATACTATGTTATACTCTAGTCTACTCTACTGAACTCTCCTCTGCACCAAACATTAAAGTAAAAGCCAGAAAGTTGGAATATGATTATCCTAAACCCTTTATGGTAAATTATAGGGTATCCTACCCTGAAACCATATTCCAACTTTCTGGAGTTCCCTTTACGACCCCAACATCAACGACACGAAGGTCCCGGAGGGTCTCAGGGTCAGGGGTAGGATTTGGGGCTTGGGTTTCTTAGGGTTCCCAAAAGGGACAAAAGCATAAGCATTTTACAGGGATATCCCGACCTTATTGGGCTTCATTATAACGGGGTTTATATGGGATATCCCTATTTTAATTTTTGCTCATGTGCTTTTTTGGGGGCCCTAGCTTCGAGTTCGAGAAGTTTGGGTTCAGATTTCGGGATCTCCCTGGCAGGTCATCCCACTGAACGGCTTGGGGGCTTTGGAATCTCTCATCCTTCGCCGCTGGTCTGCGGGTTTGCTTTCGGGCTTTAGGGACTACCTGTAACACCAAACTCGACTGCCACTATGGGGTCGTACGAAACTACACTATATAGTAGCTGAGTGTATACACTTTACACTTTTTTGGGAAAATACAACCAACTTTAAAACTGAAAGTGTGCACTTTTTTTTGGGGGGGGGGCTTATGATTTCAGCAACTAGGTACACGAAACATAGGTCTAAACCCTAAAACTTTAAACCCCTAAAACCCTCAACCCTAAATCCCCAAATAAACCCTAAACCCTAAATCCCTGAACTCTAATCTCCAAATAGACCCTAAACCCTAAATCCCTCAACCCTAAATCCCCAAATACACCTTAGACCCTACAGTAAATCCCTAAACCTTATAAATCCCCAAATAGATCCTAAACCCTAAATCATATCCCTAATCCCTAACTCCCCAAATAGACCCTAAACCCTAAATCCCTAAACAGGATGGGTCGAAGGCTCAGGGGCTGAATGGGCTTTCTAATGTTTGGGACGGTTGGGGGCTCGGGGCGTTTTTGGGTTAGGAGGTTGAGGGTTTAGGCGGTTTAGGGGCTAGGTTTCTGTGCTAGGTTTCTGGTTTTTTTGTTGGAGTAGGGTTTAGGGTTGACTGTTTCGGGCGTTGTTGAAGATTTCCTCTGTGGGGCGCAAGAAGGAAGTGTTGGTTTTTGAGACTTGTAGCAGTACCAGTCTTGGGTCATCCCTGTCTTTAAACGTAACTTGTTTTCTCCAGGTAGGGTTTCGGGTTAGGATCAAGACTTGAGCGACTCCGAGGCAACAACCAGATCGAGGAGCTCGCATCTTGTCAGCACAGCATCGACTCTTGGAAGGCCCAAAAATTTCCCGTGAGGCCGAGTAGAGCCCCTTGTTGTGGAAAAAGCCGTACTAGCTTATGTGACCTAAAGAGGATCCCGAGTGTGGAGAACTACCCACATCCACCCTCAACCTCCGGAGCTTAAGCCGTAGAATTCCAAATTGCTTAGGGATAAGGCCCTTAGGATTCCAAAGCTTCCTGGACTTAGAACCTACCTGTGGCCCATAAAGCGTGCTGGGAGAGCATAGTACTTAGGAAGGGAAGTAGAGAAATACACCTAAATCTTGGGGTTCCTACGAACATTCATATTTAAGGTATGTTCCTTCATGAGGGGCTTTTGAAGTCTCTGCTAGGATGCCCAGTAGTACCCCTATTCCCTTTTTGTAGTCCTAGGTTCCTTATAAAGTTACCCAATACCAAAAAGAGAGGCCTTTTTATTCTTAGGTTACTGGGTATCCTGGTATATTAACCCCCTATATTATAGAACCCTACTATAGATCCCTTATAGACCCCTTTAAGGAGCCCTATAGATCCCTTATAGGTTACTGGGTATCCTAGTCTGGTAATGAAGGAGCCCGGAAGATGCAGGCTTTTTCGCTGCACTGAGTCGCAAGCAAGCTGTTGTCGTTGCTGGACAAGAGACGCTGCTGAGAGCCTTACCGAACCCGTATACATCCCTTGTCTTCGTAGCAGCTCAAATCGAAATTTGCCAGCAAGCCCGAAACTGCGTAACACCCTAAACCCTGAGTCCAAACCCGGACTGTTGCCGGCAAACCCAGAACCATTGAAATCCTGCATAAATCTTGAACCAAAACTCCAACATTGTTCCGGCTAAGACGTCACCAAGTCCTCACTGAAGGATCCCAAGACTTGGCGCGATGGGGTGCAGTCCCATCTCCGCACCCTCGACCTGCGCTTCAACAGGCACCCGAGCGTTCCTTCAAAGGTATCCTAGAACATTCTAGAACTTTACCGGAACCCTTTCTGATACCCTTTGCGATTAGAGGTTTTGGGGACTACTACTCATATTCTGTCGCATCTACACGGGAATTCTACTGGTACCAGCTATCCACCCCATATCTATGAACCCTCCGACATTATAACTGCCCTGTAGAAGGTTTGGTTGGTGATGTTTTGGTTGGTAGTGTATACCCACCCAGCCCAGCCCTTTCTCTGCTCCGATTCTTAGTCAGTTGATGGCGCGCGCGAAGTGCGCATCGATGTTTCGCATGTACACCACAGCTGCTGCGCCGGCTCGGCGGCAAAGATCAAGAAGCTTGCTTCAGGATGTTTGGGCCGCGTCGGTTAAATTTAGCTGGCCTCAGCTTTTTTCATTGGCCGAGCCGGTAAAATTTCACGGGCTTCGGCTTTCACCGGGCGAGGCTGCATGCCTTGGCGGGCTTCGGCTTTTTAGCCGGGCAGGCGGTGAAATTTATGCAGAATCGCCCGGGCGGGGCCGTTAAGTTTAACGGGCTTCCGCTTGAATCCGCCGGGCCGGTGAAATTTAACCGATGTCGGCTTTAAGCGGCCGGGCCGCTTAAATTTAACGAGCTTCGGCTTTACTCGGCCGGGTTTTTACGTGTGTGCCTGGACATGTGGTGTATGGATTGTCCGTCGCTCCTCGTCTGTGCGTGCAGCGGCCTGTGTGTCCTACCTACAGGAGCTTTTCCACTGGCTGGCTTTTTCTTTCAGCTAGGGGGCATCAAGCGCGCGCGCGCGCGTACGTCGCGGTTCCGTGAAAACAATTGGCTTTTTACATGTGTGCTTGGACATGTAGGGTCTGGCAACAGGTGTATGGATGGTCCGTCGCTCCTCGTGTGTGCGTGCAACGACCCTTGTGTCCTGCCTACAGGAGCTTTTCCACTGGCTGGCTTTTTCTTTTCGCTCGGGCATCCGGCGCGCGCGTGCGCGACTTCTTTGGCTTCCTGTATCCTTGTCTCGAGGTTTGGCGAAGGCTGCTCAGCGCATCCCAACGTAAGCCCGTGTGCCAGCGCGCGAGCTAGCGTCCTGCTCCGTCGAAAACGACAAATAGTGTTCCAGGTCTAGGAAGGCTTCGAAGCAGGCCCTTTTTTTTTCTTCCGAAGGATAGGTCTGCCTATTGGCCTCCTGGCAGCGGCTCTTTTGGGTGCTTGTTCTGTGGGGTCCACTCGGTCCCTTCCGCAAAGCGAAAGCCTCGCGTCGGATTTGGCGGGTGTAGGGGAAGGCGAAATTCGGTATCCTGGTCTCGAGGTGAAAGAAAACGGCAAAGCCTCAAGGCTCAGCTCTTAACCCAGGATGTTGGGTGGGCAGTGGATAAAACCTCAAAAGCGTAGGGCTGGTAAGGGGACGCCTGGGTCTAGAGCACCTCTTACTTAAGGGTTTTTATCCGCTCATTCAATAGTCGAGGGAGCTAGAACCTGAGGTTCTATCCATTGCCTGCTCAACATCTTGGGAGTAGGACAAATAGAAGGGTTTTAAGAGTCAGCTGCCGAAGCCTGGGAGATGCTAGGCAACGACCGCAGCAAACTTCTGCGGCTCTCCAGTGACCAGCTTTCTCCCCTTCCTTCTCGCTTGCTTCCGCCATGACCTATGAACATAGGTTCGAGATCGCATGCTTGGAGTGCGGCGGCTTCGACCTCCGGTACGAGAAGGCTTCCTTTTTTTCTTTGGGAGAGGTTCTTCCACTAGCTTCAGGGATAGGGCTACGTGGAGTGGTTTTCTAGGGGGAAGTGGACGTCTTCTAGATCTAAGTTCCTTGTTTCCTCGCCGCAGGACAACCGGGTCTTCTGTGCCGACTGCGGCACGCTGGCCTGCGGCGTGGACCCGCTCGGCCTTAAAGAAATCGATGAGGATTGTTTAGGTTTTTAAAAAGGGCCTCGGGTTGAACTTATTGAGGCATAGCTTTTTCGAGGTAGTCTAAGTAAGTGTGGGAGCTTAGCCTTGTGGTTCACATAGATACGTAGAGGACGACCACGTGGACGTGACCGTGTACGAGTGCAGGGACTACTCGACGGGGAAAATGTACCAGAAGGCCAGCTTCTTTTCAAGTTTCGAGGTTAAGTTGGGTCTAGCGTTGGGTTCTCACGTTGCCCCAGGTTTTAAGGTCTAGCCCTCCCCGTTGTCTCCTGTGCGGGAGGCAGTCCACACGCACCGCAGCGACTTCAATAAGGAGCGCTGGCGACACACGTGCCGGGTCCGTCCGGGCGGACGCTGGACAGCATTCTTATTTTTAATTGTTTAGGGGGGCTAGGGGTGTCTTAGGGTCAGGTTTTCCTTATCTCGCTAGGCTAGCTGGGGGTCCAAAGACTGAGTCCCCTGGGGGTGAGTGGCCATGTATATTTACCTTAGGGTTGCTTAGCTAGTCCTCTTTCCCTTATGCTCTTAAACCCTAGAGGCCTCACGAAGACCCTGGCCGAGCGGCCGTTTGGCTTTTACGGCATGCGAAAGTGGCTAGCGGCCTACGCCGCGGGGAGTGAAGAGCTCATTTCGGGGCCGATGCAGTGCATGGGCCATACCCTGACCGGACGCCAGCTTTGCCGCCAGCTTGTAAAGAAATGGCGCGGCTGGCTCACCCGCGAGGAGTGTAATCTCTTGCGAGGAGCCTGGCGGCGGTATGGCCACCAGCCTGTGCGGCGAGGCCCACGGAAAGCGAAGCGGGAGAATTGAGGTGTATAATTAGGGTTACCTTCCTGTTTTGGATTTGAGCGGTAGTTCTTTAGGAGGAATTCGTATCCAAGAGGTTTAGGACGAAGCAGCTAAAATTAAGATCCTTTACTCCCAGCTTCGCTACCAGGGTTTGATGGGAGCAGCACATATGGTCTAAGTTTACTAATCGGAACTAGGGGGTATCTAAACGTAGGGTTTGAGTAGCCTTCCGCACAGGCTGGGAATATATAATTCGCATTGGTGCGGCTGCATTGATCTTGCCAAAGAGCTCCTAATTCGCGATGTGCGGTCCAAAACAAAGGTCTGCGTAAGGGCGCCTGGGATCGAGGGGTTGCTCGGGGGTTTCAGGGTGGACGAGGTTTCAGGGTTCTTCTTCTTGGGTCTTCTCTCCGGGTTTGCCCCTTCCTTTTGGGATCTTCTGCTTCTGGGTTTGTCTTTCGAACACAGGGTTTTTGCTGTCAATCCCACGGGTAGTAAGTAGCTTAGCTTGGTGTTTATTAACGGGAGGTCCCTGACGGGTTCTTCTTCTTCTTAGGTTTCCTGTGGGGTTTTGGTCTTTCTTTCAGGATCTTCTTCTTTTCGGTGTCCTTCGGAGGAACGGGTTTCCAGGCCTCAGGCTTAGCCTGGCTTCAAGCTTCTGGAGTTACCCTGGGTTCTGGGTTTTGACGACCAGCGTTCTGGATGTCGTTTTTGGTTCTTCGGTCTAAATCCAAGGGGTGGCTTTGTACTCTTTTAGGAGGTTATCTCCTTGGTGTTTTGGCGGTCGGTTTCCTGTGGAAGAAGAGGTTTCCAAGCCTCAGGCTAGGCAGGCTCTCTCACTCAAGTCCCTGGGGTAACTCGGGTTCTGGGTTTCGACTACTGGCCTTGTGGATTGTGTCTTGTTTTTTCTCTCTCTCCTTTTGTTGCAGTCCAAAGGTGTAACTGGCTTTGAGGCTTGGCCGTGTGAAGGCTTTCGTCGTGGGTTTCTAGCTTCGTCGTCGAACAGGTCCAAGACAGCACAGAGAGCTCCCGAAGGGGGGAAAGGAACTTCCCCCCGAGAACCCCCCTAACCTTTTCGTCCGCATCTTCTTTTCGCATTCCGCTGTCAGGCTCCTGAAGTTTTTGTGGTTGATTTCCTTTGGGACCAGGGGTTTCCAAGCCTCAGATTAGGCAGGCTTTCTCAATCAAGGCCCTGGGGTTGTCCGGGTTCTGGGTTTCGACTACTGGCCCTGTGGAGTATTGTGCACCTTCGTTTCCTTTTGTTGCAGTCCAAAGGTGTGGCTTTGAGTGTTGGCCGTGACGGCTTTGGTCGTGGGTTTCAAGCATTCCGTTGTCAGGCTCCTCTAGTTTTTGTGGTCGATGTCCTTTGGAACAAAGGTTTCCAAGCGTCAGGTTAGGCAGGCTCTCTCTTAATCGAGGCCCTGGGTTTCCTCGAGTTCTGGGTTTCGACTACTGGCCCTCTGGATTGTGTCCTTTTTTTTTCCTCTCCTTTTCTTGGAGTCCAAAGGTGTGGCTTTGAGGCTTGGCCGTGCGAAGGCTTTCGTCGTGGGTTTCTAGCTTCGTCGTCGAACAGGCCCAAGACAGCACAGAGAGCTCCCGAAGGGGGGAAGGGAACTTCCCCCCTAGAACCCCCCTAACCTTTTCGTCAGCATCTTCTTTTCGCACACTGCTGTCAAGCCACATGTCACGAGGTATATAGGCAGGTCTTGCGCTGCTTTCTTTCTTGGTTATCTCCTTCCATAATATAAGGCCGTTGCGCTCTGGTCTTCTTGTCCCAGGAGCTTGTTAGACTGAGGTCGCCCCAAACTCCCCGAGACACCTTGCCGCATCCCTGCAACTCTCTCTCGGCTTGAGTTCTTGGCAGGGTTAGCCCTCGCGTCCTTGGGAGCGCGAGGTTACCGGGAACCGCCCGCGGGGAGGACTCACGGCAAGGGTTTTTGGTTCCCATTGGTTCGGCGCATTGGTGTAGACGATGTAGGACCTGGGCTTGCGTTTCTTAGGGTGCGGGGTCACTGCATTAGAAGGTTGAGGGCGGGAGAGAAGAGAAAGAAGGGGAAGCGGAGCGGTGGGGATTGTGCACAGAGTCTTTCTTTCGTTCTGGGTGGAGTCTGTTCTCGCGCAGAGAAGAGATGAAACGACAGAAAGGCGACCACTACGGCGGTGCATCCGGGACAGGGTAGAAGTGCTCCTGGTCCACGTCGCCCAAGAAGATGAGATCGTCCAAGCGGCGCACACGACTCACCGCCACGTAGCCGAGTCCGGGCACGCCTTTGGCGTCCAGGAGCAACGCAGCGAAGTCCAAGGTGGCGCCCTGAGCCTTGTAAACGGTGGTAGCGTAGCCCGGTTCCAGATGGAAGCCCGGGTGCAGCACGTCCTCGCCCTTCTTGTTCTTGATCCAGTGGTAGGTCGGCGGCAGCAGCTCGACGCCACGAGCACCCCCGAGCTCCAGCAGCAGTCCTCCCGGACAGCGGAAACCCGCGCAGCGGCCTTCCATGGGCGTGCAGCCTTTCAGCACGCCCGGCTGTCCGTTCATGAGGCCGCGCTCCTCGGATTGGTTGAAGGTCATGGTGATCGGCGTGTCGACATAGAGCTCCACGTAGTCCAGCTGCGTGGCGTCCTCGTTCCAGACCGGGACCTGGCCCAGCGAGGCGTGGTTCTCCTTGTGCCAGTCCAGAGCCACGCGGTTGGCCCAGGCGGCGCCGCGGCGCGTGCCCGCCAGGACAGTGACCTTCCCCTCGTGCTTCTGCAGCAGCTTTCGCAGCGTGTCCGTGTCCCGGGGAAAGACTCGGTTCTTTCGCAGGCGCCGGAGCAGCGGCTTGTCTGGCACCTGGTCGCGCAGCACGCCGAGGATGTCCCGCAGCCGTGAGTCCGTACAGCGGACCTGGGTCCGCAGCTCGTGGCGCTCTAGCCGTTTCCACAGACTGGAGCACTGCGCGTTGCTCGCCTGGGGACCGGTTGCTGCAGCGGTCCGCTGAACGAAGGGCAGCAGCTGCTTGAAGTCTCCGACGAAAATCAGCACGGGCCAAAAGCCCAGTTCGGCCCAAGTGCGGTAGATGTGCTCGAAGACTTGCTGCGCGAGGAGGCTGGCTTCGTCCACCACGATGACGCGGAAGCGCTGGAGCGTGAGGTTCTTTGGCCAGAGCAAAGCTTCGTCCTCGTCTGCCTTCTCGCAGTGCACCGGTATTTGGAAGGCCTTGTGCACGGTCTGGACCACGACCCCACGCAACTTTTCGCGATAGCTGACCCCCAGCTTTGCGGCGGGCGCCGCCACCAACACCGGCTGCTGCTGGCGTAGCACCTCATCCAGGAAGCGCACCACCGCAAAGCTTTTTCCGGAGCCCGGCACGCCCGTCAGAAGCACCGGGCGGGTCTGCTGCAGCAACTCCTGGAGGCAAGAGATGGTTGCTTTGCCGTTCTTAGGGGTGGGGTGGTTCTTTCGGTTGCCGATTGCAGGTATGGGTATATAGTTAGAAGACCAGATACAGACACGAAAACACTAAAAAACAAAAGAATCTCACGTCTACTATTCTTACCTAGAGCAATGCTGCAGCCGAGCGGCCGGGTAGTTGTCCTCCTCACGCAGCTTCACCAGCTCCCAGAGTCGTCGGAGCACAGCGTTTTGTTCGGCATTCAGCGGCTTGTCGAAGTCGGCGTACGGGCCACCGGCAGCCGCGGCGGCGGCTTGGGCAGAGACGCCCTTCGGCAGGCGTCCGGCTTGTTGTGCTTCGAGCAGGAAGCGCGCGGTCGCCAAGCGCGCCACGGTGTTCTCCACGAATTCCAGGCGATGGCCTTGGTCCAGTAGGTGCCGTCGGATCCAGTCTTCGTTGCCCCAGCGGTCGGGCGTCAGAGCGCAGGCGACGGCAAACCAGCGCAGGTCCGGGGCCACTCTCTCCAAGAGCTCCTCGCGGAGGCCTAAGTGTTCGGGCTCCAGGCTGCGATGCGGCCAGTGGAAGAGGAGCCACTGCCAGAAGTAGCTGTCGCGGTGCAGGCGATGGTACAGCACGCCCACGGCCATGAGCCAGGCGGGCTTCTCGCTGGCCTTGTAGCGAGCCACGCGAAAAGGGCTGGTTTGGATCTCGCGGTACAAACGCAGAAACTCCAGGTAGCTCAGGTGCTCCTCGTCCTTGCTTCGCCGGCAATAGGCCTGATGCATCGCGGGCAGGTGCTCGGGGCCGGCCGGCGCGAAGATCTTTTTGGTCTGCGCTGATGTCCAGACCATGGGTTCTCGCGCCAGGGTCATCATCATCTGCGGTTCTGCGCAGAGCCAGTACTTGCTGTAGAGGTCTCCCGCGGCCCAGGGGTTGTCGGTGTCCAAGGCCCAGGTGCGACCGGCGTCTTCCTTGGCCTTCACCGTGTAGCCCAGCACATAAGCAAGCAGGGCGGCTTTTCCGAACCACCACTGCACGTCTTGAGCGCAGCGCAAGACCCGGAGCAGGCAGCGGAGGAAGGGACGCAAGTTCATGTCCTGGTCCGCGGGTGTGCGGCGGAGCTTCAGCATCCAGCGCTGCTGGTCTTGGTCCCAGGTCCAGGTGGGTCCCCCGAGATGTTGGGGCACTCGCGCTGCCTCGTTGGCGCACTGCAGCCGCAGCGCCAGGGCACGCAGCTCCGGATCCTCGTCGGCGGCAGGCAGCGTGGCGCAGAGCTCCATGTCCAAGCCGGCGGCCGCAGCGTTGAGGAGCCAGATGATGACGTGCACGTGCATGGCCCCGCGTCCCTTGCCGTCGTGGCGCCGGTCGCCCTCTTGGAACTCATGGCGTGCCAGGACGCAGCGCACGTTGCGGCGCCGCCACTCCAGCAGCTCCGGGTTGTCCTGCTCCTCCTGGTCGACGTCCGGCGGCGCGTCCTTCTGGGTGTAGCGGCGGGCCGAGGCATCCGCGAAGACGTGCTTCCTCCAAGTCTTGGGTCCCGTGCCGCCACAGAGGAAGCCCCGCACCACCTGCACCAAGAGGTGCGCCAGACACAAGGTCTCCTGCCCGGGCAGTTCCGTGGGCTCCAGGCCGCGCATGCGCCGCGCCCGCTCGAGCCAATAGGGCCAAGGGAGACTCCACTCCCAGGGGCTGACGGTGAGGAAGAGGTCCGGCGGGCCCAGTTGTGCGACCACGTCCATGCAGATGGCGTGCTGGAACTGCCAAAAGAGAGGATTCCAGTGCGTGGATTGGTCGCCGGTCTGTGGGCTTAGCGACTGCTTCGCTTTCACCTTTTGGCCTACGGCGACTTTCCTGAAGACATGGACGTCGAAGTGCCACTGCAGCAGATCGGAGCTGCGGCCATAGTCCAGGATCTCGGACTTGACCTGCAACGTGTAGTGGGCCTTCGCGGACTTCATGCGATTGTCATCCGGATCCTCCTCCTCCTCGTCGCCCTCAGCTTGGAAGCTGCCGTGGGCCAAGGGCTGAAACGGTTCCTTCCAGCTGCTGGGCGCGTGGGAGTGGCTCGGACACCAGTCGCGGAAAGGATGCAGGTGTGGCCAAAGGCAGCACTCCAAATAGGCTTCCAAGATGCGGAAGCCCGGCAGCCTCAGGGGCATCCTGTCTTCTTCGGCCAGCTGGTGCTGCTGCGCCAGGAACCGCTCGTGCACGGAGATGTAACTGGCATATGCGGACTTGGGCTCGTTGCAGAGCCAGGCATAGGCAGCGCCACAGCGACGGCGCTGCGCGATGTCGGCGAGCGCGTCGATTTCCGAGGCCACCGATGCCGGTTTCCAGGACAGGGCACTGCGCTGAGCCTTGGTGAGGTAGCCAGCCGGATGCCGTTCAGGCGTGCCTTGGTGGAGCACGAGAGGCCGTAGCACGTAGACGTCCGCTGGCTCCAGCGCCTGCAAACACGCTGGGATCTCCTGCCACCGCGGCACCGGGTAGCAGAGTTTCACGGCTTTCTTGCACTGCACACATTTCACCTGGGCTCCACGCCGGGCGGCTCGCGAGCCAGCATCTCTCAGATCCATCTCCGTCATGCTTTTGGCGCTCAGAACTTTGCATTCCGGACATTGGGACCAGGACTGGAAGACCAGCCAATCGTAGAGCGCCACCTCCCGGACGCTCCAGCTGCTGCGGCGCCCAGCCTCCTCGAAGTAGGTCGCCCGCTGAAACTTGGCTCGCCGCTGGGCCGCGGCGATGGCCCGGCTGGGGCCCGAGGCCGCTCTGGAGAAAGCCATGGATCCAAGCCACGTGGCCCAGGCCGTCACGAAGCCTTGACGCTGCTCAGGAGTCGCAGCGACGTAGTCCGGCTCCTTCCAAGGCCTCTGTCGTTTGGCCGCCATCGCTCGCTTTGGGTGGTGTTTGTCTTCCTCGAAGGCTTTCTACTGTTATTTGCTTTCTACAGGTATACTCTATCATATTGGGTTGGGCAGCGGGCGTGTTTTGGATTGCATGTGACATGCATGTTTGATCCGAAATACGCAGCAGGCGACATCTGCCATTAGAGGTGCTGAAAGCCCCTGGAAGAGACATGTCATGCTGCTGCACTCGTACACGCTTTGCCACCTGAGCTCCAGACCTTGCATTCTCGTTCCCCACCACCAGCAGGTTCGGGCAAGAACGCGCCAGTGACCTTGCCGCATCTCCGCAACTGTGACCAGCCAGTCGCAGAGTTAGCCCTCGCACCTCCGCCAGGGAAGGTAAACGAGGTTTCCAGGAAGCGCCCGCGAGGAGGACCCACGGCAAGGATTTTTGCTTCCCGTCCAGGACCATGTTGAACACGATATAGACCTGAGAGTTCCACCGAGGTTGAAGGAAGGGACGAGGTGGGTGGGTGGGTGAAGGAGCAGGGGGGGGGGCGGGAGTAAATCGCCGACGCGCACGTGTGCCGAGTGCGGGACCGTGATCTCCTTGGCGTTCTCCAGACCTTGGTTCAGCGGCAGCGTGCGTGGCGCAGAGCTTCCATCCAAGTCGCTTGCAGGCAGCTGTCAGAGAGGTCTCCTTTTTGTTCTTGACGGCTCCGCATTAATTAATGGGTCCTTAAGGGTCCCTGTGTAAATGATCATGAACACTAGGTCCCTAGGTATTCAGGTAGGCATAGGTGGATTTGCGGACTGCAGTAAACGAGCCCATGGGCGAAACATACACATTGGCCCTGAAGTTATTATTAGAAAGGGACATATAGGGACCATTTTCAGGCCAAGGCATGTACGATATAGGTACATGAGCGGCGTTCTAAACTCCGGCTGTGGGAGTTTATATAAACGTTAAGATTTGTCTGGTCCGCGTCAGCTGGGACTCGGTGCGCGTCAGTGCGCGTCAGTGAAACTATAACTTTGCTCATGCGCTAGCTGACGCGTCAGTGGCCTAGAAACGAGTGTTAACTTCTGCCATGGCGTGCTCGTTAGGCGCAGCTCAAGAGTCGTGGAAGCTCTGGGTGATTGGATGAGGCACATATTCTACGACAAGCTTCTTATTTTGTATAATATAGAAATCTTAATGTTTATGTCTATGAGTCTATGAGTGTGCCTTACTACGTCGTATTGCTGCGATACACACTGTTGCGGAACTCGTGAGGCCACGAGGTTTCTCCCCAGGACTCATGCGCTTTCACAGGCGACATGACGCGAGGTTTCATTCACGTATCTCTCAACTTTCCCTCGCGTTCATAAGCGAAACTTGCAAGATACTGTATCTACATGAACACACAGACAAGATCGGAAACTTAAAGGACTACGCAGCTTACACCGCAGTCTGTAAGCTTTGCTTATTGGGGGATGTTTGTCCAGACCATGTCCGAGACTTCGCAGTCTGCAAGCTTTGCTTATTGGGGGATCTTTGTCCACACTATGTCCGAGACTTCTCAGTCTGCAAGCTTTGCTTGTTGGGGGATCATGTCCGTATACTACGACTGCTGCTGCTTCTGCAAGAAAGGAACACACCGACATAGCAAGCAAGAACAAGTAGATCCGAAAATTTTGTTTTACATGCAGTAGTGCGCGCTAGCTGCGCGACAGCTTTGCGACAGTGGCGCGTCAGTGAAGGGTCGGTTTGGCCACCCATTCCCCTTCCTTCCCTCAGCCCCGCTCTTCCCGAAGCGAGCTGCTCAAACATCCTAGTGGGGTTGAAGCGTAATGGCTGCCAAAGGCAAACGCTGGAACGACCTCACCAAGCAGTACAAGTCCAGTATTGTTAGTTCCGTTTTGAAAACTTTGTTACCGCACATTCACGATGAGTCGGACTTCAAGAATATGTCAGAGATCAACTTAAGCAGGGATGCGCGTATGCCGGGGATAGGGTGTATGTTTTGGCAGTTTTCCATGATCAACCCAAATTGCACATTTGCGAGTTCAACTCCCCCAGTTTTGAGATTATGATTTGTGTGCGTATTTTACATGCCGGTGGTGTGTTTTTTACATAGCCAATCGGAGGATTCCAAAACCACATAACAAGCAAGCAATTAAGCAAACACCCGTTTGGACAGCGGTTTGAGTTGAATGGATTTGTGTGTATAGGAGTATGGATTTAAGATTGAATACAGGCTGAGTTTATTACAGAATTGGAGGAGCAAAGGTCGCTCGCGGGAATTTGGTCTTCAGTTGTTTTGAGGGGCAAGCTGTAGCTCAACCCGAAGAACTTACCCGCCGTGCTTCCCCGTCGTTCTGCAACGGTGGACAACAACTTCGTGTCCAATGCCACGCTCTTCGCTGGACCAGGTGCCTTCCGCCCTCCCCTTTTGCTCTGCCTGCTCATGACATGAACGAATGTTGGTTATCTTGTGTGTGTGCATGCGACCAGCATTGTTGAAGCTTTGTTGACGGAGCATCGGTTGTTCGACTGCCACACTTTTGGACCAAGCCTGCACATTGTGCATCAAAGCTCTCTGATGACATGATGTCCATGCCTCAGGCAACACATGATGGACGCTTTTTCAGATTCATTCACACAGTTTATAGGAGCTTAACACTCGTAAGTAGCTATTGCATCACTCGCCTTAAGGTTTAAGGACTTTCAGCGTGTGGAAGCGCATGACTGATAATTTCCCGACGTTCTCCTCTACCTAGTATCCTCGCCGTTCCTTCGTAGTTCCACCTCGGCGGCCATGACCTCATCTTTTGAAGGTGTCGGCAGGGTTGCGGACAAAGCCCCGCGGGCCCCCCTGCCGGTGCACTCGACGGGCAACATGGACACGTATCAGCGGACCACGCAGGACGTCAAAGACTCGCCGAACGGGGAGGACAAGTTGTTGCTGGTCGGATACGGAGCCGACATGCTGTACCCGAAGCCTTATGCCTGCATCTTGTCTAAAACCGTCGAATTCAACATGCTGTGCTTCTGCATTGCTGCACGATTAGTGTGTGTGTGTGTGTGATTCGTTTCATCAGGCCCGGCGAACACGCCGACACACGCGAATGGACGAACCGGAGTTCTGAAGACTGGACTGGAGAAGAGCGGCTTCGGCGTCTTCGACTGGATGTACCTTGACATCGACGTTCGTGCGCTGGGCTTGAAGGACGCAGAACACGACGTTCAGAGTCCCCGCGGTACCATAGTTGCAGTGCAGTCGTTGTTGTTCCGATGTGTTGCATTACAGAGAGAGTGTGGCATGTGGCTTTTGATTGCTTTCTAAGGTTCCCCGGCGCTCAACTACAGAGTTCTCCAGCACCTGTCGGTCGGCCAGGAAGGCATGTGGCACGCGCTGGTCATGATGCTCGCTCTCATTTCCACGCTGCTCGAGTACAAGCCGGAGGGCATGAAGATCATCCTCTCGCTGTTCTGTGACGAGGTTGAAGGTGGGAATTCGTTTGTTCACGTTTATTTCGACTACTACTACGACTACTACTACTACTATTTCTACTACGACTACGACTACTACTACTACTACTACTACTACTACTACTACTACTATTACTACTACTACTACTACTACTACTACTACTACTACTACTACTACTACTACTACTACTACTACTACTAGCTAGTACTACTATTACTTCTGCTAGCACTACTACTACCACTACTACGACTACTACTACTACTACTTCTACTACTACTGCTGCTGCTGCTGCTGCTACTACTACTACTACTGCTACTACTACTACTACTATTACTACTACGAGCTGAGGCAAACGGGGCAAACACCGTGCCGCCGGACTTTCCACCCTTGTGGCACTTGCCTTGGGTCACCCGCTGTTCCTCCCGACGTTCAACTACCCGGACGTTTGGGACATCAAGTGGTGGTCGGTCCACTTGCCACCCGTGGAGAAACGCGAGGAGGACGACCCGTTACCCAACTTCATCTCGACGGCCATCATCATGTCGAAGTACATGTTCAAAAATCCCCGTCGGAGGTCACTCGCTTACTACGCGGCGGCCACGCAGCTCGGCTTTTGTGAGCCGGACGTACCCGAGGCCGCGGCGGCCTTCTCCGAAGGCATGCAGGAGGCGGACGACGAGGGCTACCAGAAGGACACAGACTCGGAGATGATCGCGCAGGACCTTGGACGTTGGGCAGAGGTTGTGTCCGACCAGGACACCGTCGTTCCCCACACGAAGGACGACATGGACGAACCGGACGAAGACGACGAGCCGCAGGACCAGGAGGACCAGGAGGACGACCCGCCGGCGGAGGAGGAATACGTGGACGTTGAGGTCGATGACGATGACAACGACGAAGGACAGGCCGACGACGACACCGAGGACCCCGACACCCCCCGGGCGGCCGACTCGATGGCACTGCCAGGCATTGGCGACGACGGCTTCCTCACGGTGGCCAAAACACGCCGGGGGAGATCGCTGGACCAGGAGGACCCTCCACCTCCCCCGAAGGCCTGCCAGGACGACTACACGGCGGTCGACATGCTCGAGTTCCACTTGTACATGGCCCGCAAAAAAGGAGGGCAAAAAGCGGTGGACGATCTTTGCATGGAGATGGCGAGGGAAAGGGTGTCTTGGCTACTTTACATTGACTGAAATTGGTTTTTTAGTAGTCCTGGTTTGCATGAGAGACTGACTGATTGACCCGAGTCACGCGCTGTTCTTCTCTACAAGCACCCAGCCGTTGCGGCGGCAATCATGAACTACCCGTTCGATCTCGACGACGGTGTTTGGAACGCTGCCTGACTTAATTAAGCAATAAGCTCGTGTTCAGGCACGATCAAGGACTTCATTGCATCCACTGTGTCCCATGAATAAGGCGCTGGTCGGACTTGCTGAGCAATCCCCGTGGGGCCGAATTCTCGCACACGATATCGCCGGACAGATGAATCGTGCTCTGGAATGCAGCCAGACGTACTTTGCTTGCAGAGTTCAGTTGAGTGCAGCACTGTTCTGGACTGAGGTA